GAGACATTTAGTACACAGATCCATATATATGATAACAGATTAACAAGAACTGACAGCTGACACTCATTTCACTACAGTCCTTTCAGCAAGAAAGGTCAAAAGTACTAGAGAATATTAAAAGTTCTCTGTATCAAGATGACTTTGATTCTTTCAGCTTCATGTTGAAAGATTAAAATTCCTTATTTGAAATTCCTATTAAAGGTTACATTGTTCACCTCACATATGTTAGTGCTTATATTTTTAACAGGATTCTCAGATAACATGAGTAAACCAGTGGCAGACTGCTCATCAAGAGCACCTGGACATTTCTTGATGGCCTGAGACTTATTTTTATCTGCTGTGAGCAGTCAACATTTCGGTGAAAAAGTAGCGATCGGGAATGAATTGGCAGCCCATTTCAGAATCCATAATGCAGGAAAAAACTCTGTCACTGCCACTGTCCCTGGTTTGAGTGTACCAAAGAAATACATAGAGCTGCCCAGTTTGGGATGGAGTCACATTCTCTAGTGCAAGCCCACATGTTAACATAGCTCAAAATATAATGAAAAACGTGTTATTATAACAAATGACATGACTTAAACCTTTGGAAATGACACCAGATGCTATTGTGGGCTGTTAGTGCAATATACTGTGATTTATACCTAAGCTTATATAGTTTTTTGACGCATTAGCTATCAACTTAAATACAGTTTGAGCATCAGTCTTGTGTGTCTGTCTTGGCGACATGTGCTGAAATGTTCTTCCGTCTGGCATCCTGTTTATAAGATGAAGTTTCGATTACTGCTATAAACTGTGTCCCCTGTGTGATGTTGTAAAATTGCAGTGAGATATCTCTCAGTTTTGAGTTGATCTTTTTTTTTAATCATGCACCAAAAGCATTCAACAGTTGCAGCTTTTATATATTAGATTTATAATTCAAATTGTTAGGGTGTTGTTACAAATGTCATTGGGAGAGTGCAGCACCTGAATCTAATGCTGGATTACATAAACATCTACAGTATAGCTATGGTTCAGACGTTTACATCCACTGAAAGACCAAAATTATGATTCATGCTCATGACGAGTGGATGCAAACTATTAACCACAACTGCATCTTCCATAAACGTAATCCATGCCATGCCAATCTCTACAATCTCTTAAACCTATTTTCTGCATATTCCAGCACATAAAATAAAATATTTTTTTGTGCTTACACTCACAGTTTCAAATAGATAAACGTAAAACACAGCAGAAACTAAAGCTCTAAGCAGCAGCACTAAGTCCTGTCGCTCTTAAATCTATTTTTCACCTGTTCAGCAGGAGTGGAGCAGTTGGGGAGTTGCCCGGTGCTGCAGTGGTCATGTCAGTGGGGGGATCCAGGGGTTTCTCTGTGAATTACACATTCCTGTGGTAGCTTGCTAGGTGCTTGCTCAGATTTGAAGTTTACTTTTTCACTGTGGAAAGACGTTTTCTTCCCACAGTAGGGAAACTAATGTTTTTGCACTTTTTACGGAGTAAAACTTGAAGGAATGTCAGTAGTTCCATGCTTTTAACACTACATGGTTGTACTTTCTCACACACTCCATATTATCCGTTGTTGATCTACATACGTCTGTTGCAGCCACGGACGTCGCACGCACATCATTGTCATGAGACACTCTCACAAACAAAATCACGGTTTA